GAACAGCGGCTACATCGGCACATCAATATCGAGGCTCTCCAGCTCCTGGATACTGATGGTATCACCAGAAGGCTAAAAAGAGTGAAACCGTTCGAGTTAGTTTAGTAATATACGAGTATGTACAAATATATACAGGGTGACAATTTGAAAACTTACCACCCCCCATATCTTAGTAAATAAACGAGATATTTAAAAAAATCAAAATCCGTTTCGGTAATTTGGAGGGGGAATCACAATGACATAGTTGGCGACGCACCCCCTCACACCCCCTGCGCCCCAGCCACCCCAACTTTTAAATCTTAAATAGTGACCCCCATGTGTAATACGTCGTTGGAAAGCTCTGAAAAAATGCTTTCCAGCCATACCAAATAGCATTACATTTAGGTTAGTAATTATCGTGAAAATCAAAAAATAAACTAATATGATACATTTGAAATCTGTCGTATTTAAAACGCAACCGGCGAACATAGACGAACTAAGACAGAATAATTCAAGAATGTCGAAATATTGCAAAACCAACATTTGAAAAGGTTCGACAAGAGTTTGAGAATAGATTATAACTGGCGATCAAAAATGAGTTGCTGTCAAGTCGGCATTGGAAGTTCAAGTTAAATACGATTTTCCATGTTTATTTTTTGACCTAAATGTAATGCTATTTGGTATGGTTGGAAAGCATTTTTTCAGAGCTTTCGAACGACGTATCACACATGGGGGGTCACTATTTAAGATTTAAAAGTTGGGGTGGCTTGGGCGCAGGGGGTTGGAGGGGGTGCGTCGCCAACTATGTCATTGTGATTCCCCCTCCGAATTACCGAAACGGATTTTGATTTTTTTAAATATCTCGTTTATTTACTAAGATATGAGGGGTGGTAAGTTTTCAAATTGTCACCCTGTATATAAATTAAAGCACGCCAGTACACTGTTTAGTTAAAAGAAATTATTGCAGGATAAGTTCTTTGTAACGTAAAGTAGAAATTTAAGTTAAAAACAAATGGCTTATTAGTACTTGTATTACTAGATTGCTATAAATATATATATGTGTATGTGTGTAAATGTGTATATATATTTTAATAAAAAAAAAAGATGTGTTTGTGCATATTCTAGCATGAAAAGAAAATGTTTGTCCCGTATGATTTTTTGACACGGCCGCCATTTTCTTTTTTTTTAATGGCAACGTAGGTCTTGCAACACATCGTTGGAATGCTTGTTTTACCTTCATTACGAATATGCAATAGGAAAAATACGCTTACGCAAAAATTATTAAATTACTAATAATATTAAACGAATACGGTTGAGTTGAAACCTAATTAAGCAAATATTCGAAAATTGTTTTGTCAATTGTTTATCAATTAAAAATTTTAGAAAGAGGATGTAATACAATTTGTAATAAACTAAAACACATGTTCTACCCTTCATGGTATTCTAATGGAAGGTCTCATCGGAATAAATTGGTTTGTACAAACTATAACTTTCCCGTGCGACTCTTTTTCGAGATCAATGAGCGACGGGGCCTGAGGGGGGGGGGGCGTTAAAAATTAATTCATCGGGTATATTCCCTTATACCTCAAGAACGGATTGTCGGAAGAGGGTACTCACAAAGGGCGATTGGGACGTCTGCAAGAAATATATCCATTGGTGATGTCAAAACAAAAGCTATTTCGGTTTAAAAAAAATGCGCTTTATCTGCACAAGAGTTGTGCACAATTTATACTCAAAAATTGCCGTTGAATTCTTTTCGAAATTTGTTTTGGTGTCGCCCACGTTAAACTTTTTCCCACACACTTACATGCTCGTTTGGATGTCACACTTTGTATAGGGACTGTAGTTAGTCGGAGAGTAAATGCACTGATTAATATAGCACTCAGCTTCTCTTACACTCAGACGTCCTAGCTAGATGATAGTGTTAGGACAGTAGATCTTACGTTCCGTCTTGTAGGATTTTAAGTTACAATTTTAGTGACCGTCGTCTACTAGTTCTTTTATTTGAAGTAGCACAGAGACAGGTTAATTAAAGACATGATAGGAGATTTGTTATAAAATATATGGGTGTTACTCGATAAACTAATTTAAATTCAATAGATTAACCAAAAGACCAACTCGTAGTCAGGGAAATAAGAGATAAATGTCGAAATAGGCTTCTACAACAAGTGAAGCTAAACTGTTATTGATTAGAGTATATCTTAAACGCATTAATTGACGAACCTTCTTAAATTTTTTTATCAGAAAGAAATTTAATAAATAAAAAGCTCAACAAAAATTGAAAAGATATTTAAATAAATTCAGCGGCGGCGAATTGATCTTTTTTGGGTTGTAGGGGATAATAACGTACATGAGAATTACGCCTATTATAGAGTTATATTTTTAGCGTAACACAACGAAGTTGAGGTGACGCTTATGTGCTCGTGTTTCCGTCTGTCCGTCCGTCCGTTCCATGGAGATTTCGGCCCCTGGGCCACCTACAGACTTCGGGTTTTCGCTAATTGATAGCTGATAGCCATTTCAATCAGTTTCATTTAACTCCATATTTATGGAGATATTTCCTTGAAATTTGAACCACAGATGCTTCAACAAAAATTTAGTCATTAACAACAAAAGAATTAAATGTTGACATTGAGGGATTTATGGCAAACTGGCCAAGAACTTCAACCTGAGCTGCTTCATTAAGCAATCTTGGTTGCTTTCTTTTTTTATTGATAACAGATCCCGTTTCTTCGAATTTAGCGACCAAATCTTGAACATAGGCATGTCTTACATTTCTCCCGGGATGTCTCTCATTAAACGTTCTAGCTGTTCTAAAAGATGATCGATTTTCGGAGCCATTAATATTATTTCCACACGTTCAGCTGTACTGTAAGTCAATCTGCATGATTGTGGATTAAGAAATATTATGGACATCCAAATACCTGCGCACAGTACTACACGTTACGAAGCCTCCTTTAGTTACCTGTCTGCCTTTTTGTACAACAAGGTTCCACATGTTTATCGGTCGCTACCTCTGCAACCGTTCAAAAGGAAAATTAAAAATCTTTTGAAACGAGATTCAATGTAGATAGTTAAGCGGTGCTTTACGGTTAATACTAAAAAATAGTTATTTGTTTCATTAGTACAAAAAATGTCAGTTTTCGGGACGAGGAAGATAGTTGCTGGACGACGCGTTAGCGGAGTCCAGCAACCTTCCGAATCCCGAAAACGCATTTTTTGTACGAATAAAACATAAAATTTTTTCTCCAACCCCCTTTACTTCAAATTATATTCGAATTTAGATTCAGTCACAGTTTCACTACTAGTATAAGAACTTCTGCTTTCTTGTCCTCACGTGTCATGCCACTCTAGTTTTTAAGTTAACTTATAACCTTTCGTTCTTACTTCTTACTTCTCACCTCTCGCGACTTTGTAGGGAGCAAATCTTGAGGTAACATGTTCTGCCGTTTCTATAATCTCTGGCGGAGTGCAATCCATGTCGCTATCAGTTTCAGTCATTTTATTGTATACACAATAAATAATGTTATATTTTGCATTGAAATAAAAAACTTACCATACAGTTTTTTAATTAAAATTAATTGCAATTAACTTTTTCAAATTTTGATTTCAAAATGACAGATAATAGTGCAATGGGTCTGAAGTAGATGGCGTTACGCGCGACGGCGGGTTGTATACGTATTAAAATTACGTTCACGGAATATGTAAATTACGTTACACATGGTTTAAATAAAAATAGCGAGCGTAAATTATTTTCAATACATGTACATACGTATAGGTAACATCATTATTTGCATTGAATATGCAAAAATATTTGATTTGTATGTATAGAAATATCTTACAACCTGCAATGTAAAACGATGTCAATGTGACATATCTCCGTGATTGTAATTTTTTAATTGGCCAACTTTCAAGGTCAATTTCTTTTTGGTACTAGGACCAAAAGTATCCACTTTTTGTACAGTTGCCATGGTGAAAGCGATTAATCCGCAAAACGTCATTTTTAGGTACCGAACACTGTCACAAAATAGCGTCTTATTCAGGTGGTTGGAGAAAAAATACTTTGTTTCTTCACACGAATTTTTTTTGCATTATTTAGTACAACCAATCTGTATTTTTTATTTAATGGTTTTTTTTGTGTATCAGTTATTTCGTGCTGGTTATGAAAAACAGGATTATGCTCATCCTCGCCACAATAATAAAGATTATAATTATTATTATTATTATTAAATAATCTAGGTATTATTTTCGCTCCTTGCTATTTTAATTTTGTTTGTCTATATTGTGCCAATAAATCATATATGCTTGTAAATTATATTACTTTTCAAGATCTCGTTGTTAATCTGTTTTATGCGTATTTCGTAAACATTACATAATCACCGGCACAATGCATACTTTTAGTTAATGCACAATCTTGCACCTTGCACCTCTGCTACATATTGTACCGATTTCCGGTATTGCCCACAAGTGGTAAATAACTCAAGTCAAATTTCACATAGATGCAAACAATAGAAACAACATTGTGTACAGGTATAGATTTGTGTGTAAAAAGCCATTATTGAGATGCTAACTCATTAATTATGCATATGTAGAAATGCTCACCTTAACGTTATTCATATTTCTAATTATGTGCATAATAGTTTTGCTTAGGAATATCGATGTGACAGAAAATAAATTAC